ACAGTACCAACTCCTAGAGTGATGCCAGCATCAGGGTGATCTAGTACCCATAAGCATTAGCACAGGGCCTAACCTAGTTAAGTGATAGCTTCTGTATGAGGCTTTAACTTTTTAAAAAAAACCTGGTGCAAAGGAGGAAATGACATCATCACCTATGACTTCATTCCTATTGTAAAACTTTTGATATAAACGTTTAGTATTTTTACAAGCATACCTGTCCCTGCTTCATTCATTTAACATCTGATGGTTTCCCCAGGTCTGTACATAGTTTCTTTAAAGAAATTTCTGTTTTTTAAAAAAATAACAACATATGGGACTTTCTGTACTCTTCTTTATTTAGCGTTTGTCTTTCCCCCAATTATTTCCATCTCCTCTCCCCCTGCCCCCCTAGTCTCCTGTTACGATAGTTTTATGCATCCATGCATCTCTTGCGGGTAGTTTCTTTAGGATAAATTCCTAGACAGGAAGAATTGCTGAGTCAAAAGGACATTGCATCCTGGCGGCTGGTGCTGGAAGATGCCTGGGCACCTGTGGGAGGGGGGTGGCTTGTTGCTTCTCCCTAGAGCAGGGCCAGGAGCCCCCAGAGACGCCGGCATCTGCCTGCTGGCTGACGTCTCTGTGATGCCCTGTGGGTTATTCACAGAAGCAACAGTTTCTCACTGTCTCTATTCTCTTTGTTTTTTTTTTTCTTTCCTTCCCCTTTGTTTCCCTTCTTGGTTTTCTGCCAAACAGCCCCTTGTGAAAGGACCGCCTAATTAACCCTGTGCTAATTAACAATTTAAAATTACACAGTGCGACTGTTCATGTTTAATTCCCTGGGAGCGGAGCTGTAGCAGCAGCCCCCTCCCTTTCATAGCCATCCACCCTCCCAACCCAGCCTCCTGGTAACTGTTGCGTTTTACCCAGTGCCCTCTCTCTCTTTCTCTCTCTCTCTCTCTCCCAGGGAAAACCACGGAACTGTCTTTGTATGTCTTTTTACTTTCAAGAGGGAGACGGATGCTTTGGTTGAACAACACTGTGGAGTTTTCCCTTTCTAAGCAATCTTTGAAAGGTAGAACTTGCTGTTTGCAGAAATGCAGTGGGGTTTATAGGAGAGGATTTTGTAACTTGGGGGGGGGCGTTGAGCATAGGTCAGGGGTTCTTTTTAGGTGGTGCTTGGGTTTGAACTCTGAGCCTGGCATTTGCTAGGCAAGTACTCTATTATTTTTGAGACAGAGACTTATTTCCTGTCTGGGTCAGTGCCTGGACTGCGAGCCTGTTTTTCAGTCTCACTCTATAGTGAAAAATAGGTCCTAAGCCAGTGCACCCAAACTTCTTTCATTGCAAAGGCGTCTGACAAACTTTTCTGCCCAGGCTGGCCTTGAATCACCACCCTCTGCACCTCAGCTTGTCAAGAAGCTAGGGTTATAGGTGTGGGTTATCAGGACCTGCCTTTGGGGGCTTCTTAATGAAGATTTGAAATTTTTCTGTACACGATTACATCACAAATGACAGATTTAAATTCAAAACAAATGCTTATGTAAGAGAGCTAGCCAGCTTACTTCTCTATCTTCCATTGAAGTTCATCATTGGAGAGATGTACTTTATTAAAAATCGAACTTGCAAATTGGGTGTCAGTGGCTCCTGCCTGTAATCCTAGCTGATTTGAGGATCACGGTTTGAAGCCAGGAGGTGGATCTGAGGATCATGGTTTGAAGCCAGCCTGTGTAAGAGAGGCCAAGAGTCTCATATCTCTAATTAAGCAACAAAAGGCTGAAAGTGGAGCTGTGGCTCAAGTGGTGTAGTGTGCTAGACTTGAGCTAAAAGCTAAGGCACAACACTCAGGCCCTGAGTTCAAACCCCAGTAACAAACAGCATACACATACATGCACACACACACACATATGTCTAACTTATGAAAGTTGAGTGTCTTCTGGGGTGGGGTCTTGAGGGACACACTTGGATATTTAAAGGGGACTTGAAGTAACAGTGGAAGAAGCCAGCTATAGCCCAGGCTAAGGGTTTCTGTGTGAGCCAGCTCTGGAATGTGTGTGTGGGGGCTGGGTTGGGGCATCATGCTGGGGCTGGGGGTGGGGGGCTGAAGAGAGGCGTATGAGTGCTGTTGGCTGGCGGGGCTGCCCATGGAAGCGCAGGGACCTGCTTGGTTCCCAGGCTGCCCTCTGTAACTGAGGATCATTGATTTTACGGGAAACCATGTTTACAGACAGAGTGCTGATCGACCTGCGGAGTTGACTTCTGCCTCCTTAAGTAAGAACTACCTTTTTCTTATTGACTGGCTGATAAACAGACGACGGGCTGGGTGGGAGAGTGGTAGATGCCAGACAGGCAGGATGATGAGATTGCTTCATGTCAGTGCTCTTGATTCCCCCAGTCCATTCCCACCCTGCACCTCCAGGGAACCAGTGCAGGTGTGTGTGTGGGGGTGGGGTGGGGGAGAGCCTAAGACCACCCTTTCCTGGTTATCTGGCAATGTGGGTACCATGCCCAGAGAAGCTGGCAATCTGTGACATTGGTATACACTGGTGTGTTTTGAGCTACAGTTTGAATTTCCTGGGGGCGATGTGAAAATGCAATACTGATATGTGTGTGTGTGTAAGTGTGTAAAAACCATCCCAGCTTACTATGAGCAAGGCGGTCATCTGTCTTCTTGACACAGCCAGCTTGCGTGGGAAGGAAGCCCAGAGCAGCAGGCAGCGTGGATCCAGAAATGGGATCCTTTTTCCTACAGGCATCTTCATAGACTGCCACCCTCTGTCTCTGTGAATGGCTGGCTGGTCCCTGGCCTGCCACCACAGATAGCCACCTGTCTTTCCAAAGTAGTTACTGTGTGATGATCTCTCCATACTTTCTGCTTGGGAGTAGAAAGCAATATGAGTGAGTTGTTTGTTTGTTGGTTTGTTTTTAAAGTCCCAACCCCTTTTCAGGATAGTTGTGGCAGAGGAGGAGGAGGAGGAGGAGGAACGCACAGCAAGCAAAGCCCACCAATTAATTGGTAAACGCTTGCAGGTTTCTCTGGCCCGGCCCAGGCTGGAGAGGAAGATTGGCTTTTGCTGTCGATAAACAAGTCCCTGGTGCAGCATCAAAGCTGTTCTCCTTTATCAATCGTGGCCTCCCCTTCCCGCATGTTCCTGTAACTTACCAAGCATTTATGACATTGATTTTACAATCGGGCTGTTAACCCTCCCGCCCCTTCAGGCTTGCCAACCTTTTTGGCCTGAGCTGTCAATCAGATGTCACCCAGCCAATCAGGAGCATCCCAAAGAAAAGCCACACCCTCGCTTCTCTCTCACCTGTGTTTCATGGAAGCCTCCGTGGGGCAGTCCCATTGTAGTTGCTGTAGGGTGGGGTTTGGCGTAGTCATCCCACTTTGAAATGAGCGTGTCTTTTTCTAAGGCACTGGGAACATTGTTGTCACAGAGGTTATAAATTGAAAGCTGAGTATATGCACATTCGTGTTGGAAACAAATCATGGCGCATTCTTCCAAAAAGTTATTTCTCCTGAGGCTTCTGGTGAGCCTGCTTTCTCCATTTTTTCCCGAGGGGGAGCTGTTGGCTCACTGTGCAGTCAAGAATCAAGAAATTGGAGAAGAAAAAAAAAATTGAATGAGAAGTAGATGGGGGCTACAGAGGATAGAGAGAGACCAGTGCAGCTTAAACTTGCCAGCGCTGTGAATGTGTTCTCCAGGAAGGAAGCACCGAGAGAGGCTGGCCGGGCATCTGTGGGTAACAGATCAGGGCCCCGCCACGTCCTGTAGGAGCAGTGCTGAGATGGAATCTGTGCTCCCGCAGTGATGCCGACACAGGAGCCAGGCAATCAGTGATCTGTTGCTGCCCTCCCCAGGGATGGGAGGTCTCAGAGGGCAAGTTCAGCTCAGTGGCTCTTTGGAGTCAGAAGCGGAAAAGCCCCAGGGCTGAAGGACAGCTGCTTGGGTAGCAACTAATAATGAAAAGGCAGACATGGAACTGGGGCTTGCTGAGTCCAGCTGCTGACTCAACTTTGTGCTAAGATCCTTAATAGGAAAAAAAAAAAAAAAAAACAACCCAAACCCTCTACCTGCCATGCATCTAACGAGGGCTCTCTCTAGACAGCATGAGGTAGTAGGCTGAGTTGGTGGGAGAGTTGGAAGATTGAAGAGTCTGGCTGGTTCTTACTGGAAATATCAAGTTCATTCTTTGTACCTAGTGTCAGTCTATAGAGCTCTTCTTTCTCCTGGTTGGTGCTGAGAATTTGGGTGGGAGTGTGCTGTCTTGTCTTTTACTTGGTAGAGAGTACCCTCAGTATTGCTTCTTGGAAAATAGGACTGAGCTTTCTGAGATGGAGAGGGGAGGAGGGTTGTAGTCGCAGACTTTCTTGGGGGATTTTCTTGCCATACAGATGTGGGCACACATCTGTATGCTTGCTCTTCATGCCTAGTAGTCCTCAGAGGCCTGTAACTAGACCTATGACCGGGAGGGGCCAAAGCAGCCATTTCCCTCCTACACTGAGCATCCTCGAAGACCCCACCCCTTCTCCCTCCCACCCCACCCCCATGTCCCCCCTGCCGCAGAAAGCGCGGGCAGCCCGAGGTGTCAGCGCCTCCTGTCTGTAGGTGGTAGGGCCTCAGTTCTGTGACCACCTTTTGTGCTCTCCTCCATCGTGGCTGACTGCTTAGCCCTGGCCCAAAGCTAGGCTGGTAAAGGATGGGAATTGGAATGTCCAGTGGCACGAAGTCGAGGAGACGTGCTCCTGGCCCTCTTTTCCTGTGCCCCTCGCTTCTGCTTGGACCCGGCCGGCCATTGTGATGCACCAGGCAGTGTCTCCAGCTTGCCCTGCGCCTCTTGTGTTGTGGGTGTGGACAGAAGCCTCTTAGAGTTCTCTGAGCCCGCGGGACCTGAGCCTTGGCCCTCCTAACCTCTTTCCTTTCTCTCTCTCTCTTCCCTCTCTCCCTCCTCCCCCCTTGCCTCCGCCCTTCAGGTCCGATCTGTCCTGGGTGCCATGAAAGCTCCACGCAGGCCTTACCATGGAAGGCTGTGACTCGCCCGTCATCTCGGGGAAGGACAATGGGTGCGGTATCCCTCAGCACCGGCAATGGACTGAACTCAACAGCACCCACCTCCCCGACAAACCCAGTAGCATGGAGCCGCCCGCAGGCGAGAGCCACGGGCCCCTGGACAGCCTGAGGGCCCCCTTCAACGAGCACCTGTCGGAGAGCAGCGCCGCTGCCTCGGCCGGGCCTCCCGCCGAGCCTGCCAGCAAGGAGGTCAGCTGCAACGAGTGCTCGGTCTCCTTCGCCAGCCTCCAGACCTACATGGAGCATCACTGCCCCGGCGCTCACCCCGCGCCGCCCCTGCGGGAGGAGAGCGCGAGCGACACCAGCGAGGAGGGCGACGAGGAGAGCGACGTGGAGAACCTGGCCGGGGAGATCGTCTACCAGCCGGACGGCTCCGCGTACATTGTGGAGAGCCTGAGCCAGCTGACCCAGAGTGGGGGTGCATGCGGCAGTGGGCCTGTCCCTTCTCTCTTCTTGAACTCTCTCCCTGGGGCGGGGGGCAAACAAGGGGACCCTTCGTGTGCTGCACCTGTCTACCCACAGATCATCAACACTTTCCACATAGCCTCATCCTTCGGGAAATGGTTTGATGGCTCAGACCAGGCTTTCCCGAATACCTCAGCCCTGGCGGGGCTCAGTCCCGTCCTGCACAGCTTCCGCGTTTTTGACGTGCGACACAAAAGCAACAAGGATTACCTGAACAGCGACGGCTCTGCCAAAAGCTCCTGCGTATCCAAAGATGTTCCCAACAATGTGGACCTGTCCAAATTCGATGGCTTTGTGCTGTACGGCAAGAGGAAGCCCATCCTGATGTGTTTCTTGTGCAAACTCTCGTTCAGGTACGTCCGTTCGTTTGTGACCCACGCGGTGCACGACCATCGGATGACCCTGAGCGAGGACGAGCGGAAAATTCTTAGCAATAAGAACATCTCCGCTATCATCCAAGGGATTGGCAAAGACAAGGAACCCCTTGTAAGTTTTCTGGAACCAAAAAACAAAAACTTTCAACACCCTTTAGTTTCCACAGCTAACCTCATAGGCCCCGGACATAGTTTTTACGGTAAATTCAGTGGCATTCGAATGGAAGGGGAGGAGGCTCTCCCAGCTGGCACTGCCGCTGGTCCCGAGCAGCCCCAGGCTGGTCTCTTGGCCCCTAGCACCCTCTTGAACCTTGGCGGGCTCACCAGCTCGGTCCTGAAGACCCCCATTACCTCAGTCCCCCTGGGGCCTCTGGCTTCCAGTCCTACCAAATCCTCAGAGGGCAAGGACTCTGGGGCAGCCGAAGGGGAGAAGCAAGACTGCTTCTCCGAGAAAGCAGAACCAGCCGAGGAAGAGGAGGCAGAGGAGGAAGAGGAGGAGGAGGAGGTGGAGGAGGAGGAGGAAGAGGAGGAGGAGGAAGACGAGGAGGAGGAGGACGAGGGCTGCAAAGGACTCTTTCCAAGCGAGTTGGATGACGAGCTGGAGGACAGACCCCTAGAGGAGTCTGGGGCTGCGGCAGGTGGTAGCAAAAAGGACCTTGCTCTCTCAAACCAAAGCATTTCTAACTCCCCCTTAACGCCTAATGTGCTCCAGACCCTGTCCAGGAGCACAGCTTCTACTAGTTCTAATTCCGCTTCTTCCTTTGTTGTCTTTGATGGTGCGAACAGGAGGAATCGTTTAAGCTTTAACAGTGAGGGCGTCAGGGCCAATGTGGCAGAGGGTGGCAGGAGGCTGGACTTCACTGATGAAAGTGCCAATAAAGACAATGCCACAGCACCAGAACCAAATGAAAGCACAGAGGGCGATGATGGGGCCTTCGTCCCCCATCACCAGCATGCCGGCTCCCTCTGCGAGCTTGGGGTTGGGGAGTGCCCCTCGGGGAGTGGCGTGGAGTGCCCCAAATGTGACACGGTCCTGGGCTCCTCCCGCTCGCTGGGCGGCCACATGACCATGATGCATTCTCGTAACTCGTGTAAGACACTCAAGTGCCCCAAGTGTAACTGGCACTATAAGTACCAGCAGACGCTGGAGGCACACATGAAGGAGAAGCACCCGGAGCCGGGGGGCTCCTGTGTCTACTGCAAAAGCGGGCAGCCCCACCCCCGGCTGGCACGAGGCGAGAGCTACACGTGCGGTTACAAGCCTTTCCGCTGCGAGGTGTGTAACTACTCCACAACTACCAAAGGCAACCTCAGTATTCATATGCAGTCCGACAAGCATCTCAACAACATGCAGAACCTGCAGAACGGAGGGGGGGAGCAGGTCTTCAGCCACAGTGCCGGGGCGGCGGCCGCAGCGGCGGCGGCGGCCGCGGCTGCAGCCAATATCAGCAGCTCCTGCGGGGCCCCCTCACCCACCAAACCAAAAACCAAACCCACGTGGCGGTGTGAGGTGTGCGATTACGAGACCAACGTGGCCAGGAACCTCCGAATCCACATGACCAGCGAGAAGCATATGCATAACATGATGTTACTGCAGCAGAACATGACCCAGATCCAACACAACCGCCACCTGGGCCTGGGCAGCCTGCCTTCGCCCGCCGAAGCTGAGCTCTACCAGTACTACCTGGCCCAGAACATGAACCTGCCCAACCTGAAGATGGACAGTGCTGCCTCAGATGCCCAGTTCATGATGAGTGGATTCCAGCTGGATCCCACCGGGCCTATGGCCGCCATGACACCTGCTCTAGGTGAGGCTGACCACCTGTGGGTTGTTTTTGTATTTTAAATCCTAGGAATTTCATTGGTGGAGAGCGGTGGAGGGGGTGGAGACTAGGCTGAGATGCTCTTATTGATTGGGTGGATTTTTTTTCCTGCCTTTTTGAGTTGCTTTGTGGAGATCAGAGTGGCTTACCATCAAATATTTCCCCTCAAGAATCTCTTGACTCTGTGCATCCATATGGAAGACTTTATGTATTCAACAGAGCTGTGATTGTATTCTGGCCGAGTTAGGCCAGGATTAAAATTCAAGTGTTTCCTCTAGTTTTTGGCTTACGATCAACCTTCTTTACTGCTCCCATTCTCCCTTTCTCTTCGTCTCTTGCTTAACTTGAAAAAATCGCCATAATCGCTCAAAACTTTTGGGGTCCATTAAATATTTATCGAAACTTACAGGAAACTGTATAGCTGGGACAATCATCTTAATAAGTGGGAATAGGGACAATTGCCTCAATATTTTTAATAGGACCAATCATCTCAATAAGAATTGGAAACCGTAGCAGACCTTACTCAGATAACCGCAGGCTGGTTCTGTGCCGACCTGGGAACCAGCCAGAGAGATTTCTCAAAAGTTTTCTGTGCATTTATGAGGATCTTGAGGAGAGAGAGTTGTTCTTTTTCTTTCTTCTTTTGGATGAGTTGTTGATGATTAGAGTCGTTGGGACTTAATTGGGAATTAAATTGCCCTGGAGATACTGTAATGAGTGGTGTGATAGATGAGAAATGAACAAATTGTAAAATTGTCCATCAAAGAAAGTGAAGTTTTAATAGCAGCTAGATGCTGGTTAATGGAACCTTTGTTGCCAGGAGAAACAACTGTGTTTTAGAGAAGTTGAGTTGGCTGTGTTTAGAGGCCAATGGTGATAGTCGGCTGTTAATGTAACAATTATTTGAGATAATCAACTCAAAAGAAGAAAAGGATTTGTTTGGCTCATAGTATTGGAGGTTTTGGTTCATGGTCACTTGGTTGGCTTCTTGCTTTGGGGGCCCACAGTATGGCATTGCATTATGGTGGGAGTGCGTGGCAGAGAAAGTTGCTTGTCTTGCAGTGGCTCGAAGTGATAGACAGAGGAAAAAGGGGGTGGGTGGGTGATCAGGATCCCAGTGTCCCTTTCAATTGTCCCAAATGACCGTAAGACTTCCGACTAGCTTCCACTTCTTAAAAGGCTCCACCACCTGCTAATAGTGCTAGAGAAGGTCGTGAACCAAGTTGTTAATACATGAGCCTTCGGTGCACACTTGACCCAAGCAGTAAGTCTTAACCAGTTGGATTCATATATCTAAAATAGGACCAAGAATATATAGGATTTGGTTATAGCACAATGTGAATCTGTGGATAGAAAGAGTCATGGTGACTTCAGAGAGAGAGAGAGAGAGTTCCTGTAGTAAGAGGATGCATAAATCAGTCAAGGCAGGTACTTAACCACTTGAACTATGCCTCCCAGCCCTAAGAAAGTTTGGATTTGCCTATCATCCTAACTCTTCCCACCTCTCCCTCTGCTCGGCCCGCCATTTGCATTCCATCGTATAGACTTGGCATGGCAAGTCTTATTTGTCTCTGCTTCTTTGGAGGACTTCTCATGTTCACTCTGGCATCCCACAAGTGACAGCCGAATTTCTCTGTAGAGCGATACTGATGCACTGAGGTTGGACTTAAAACGTGGAGAAGATTCCATGCTTCAGGTGGCTGGCATCAGAAACAAATATATGTTTGCTCCTTGTCTTACGCTCCGGGCAGTTTCTGCTTTGACTGAACACTGTATGTTTTGTGGATGTTGCTTGCCCTTCATCCCCATGAAGGGATAGAAGGTTTTTTTTTTTTTTTTTTCTTTTCCCCCCTCCTTTTTCTTTTTTCTCTCTTGTCCTAAAAAGAATGTTGTAGCTATGCCTCCTCTCACCAGGGGAGAGACAACAAGCAGAGAGCATCCTGAGCCTTCTGGAGTGCACATGTGGAAGATTTCTGGCTTGCTAGACTGTCCCTAGACTTCAGATGCAGCTGGTCCTGTTGCACGGAGCTCGTACTGATCTTTTCACTCGAGGTGCAGAGTAAATAAGAAAATCATTTTATAAAAAATACCATCTTTTCTTTGATGAGCCATCTTTTCTTGGATTCGGATTCTAATCAGTCATTTAAAAAAACCCACCTCCCCCCAAATAAGAATACCAACCTCCGCCCCACCATGTGTAAAAAAGTCAAGTTTAAGTATCAGTTGAGGGTTGAGGGCCTCTCCCCCCCCCCCGCCCCCTCCCACACACTTCAGCTCAGGAATAGGGGATCACAGAAAATGGAAGCCAATGCTCAGCTTTCTGTGGCTGGGTGTTTGTAGTAATGGAAGGGAGGCTGCTCTTCCCAAGACTTGCTGTGCTTGGCTTACTGCCAGGTAAGGTGAGCACATTTCTGATTGATGTAGTGCAGGTGATGGGGCTGCAAACGGAACGAGAGGCATGGAGAGAAAAGAGGTCTTCTAAGTCCCTGTTAGGGACTGCGCACTCCCCTCGAGTTTGCTGATCTACTTCCTGTATGTGTACCACTGGGGCTCTTCTTGACCTTTGGCTAACATGGCAGACAGTGAGCTGGGCCCTCAGTAGAGGGGCAGCTGGGATAGAAGGCATGACCTCTGCCACACAACAGCCGTCCTCTGCACCACGCCGGCTATGGTATGTTCCTATACGTGGTTTGTTCTGACTGACAGAAAATGTGATGGTCTATGGTGGACCTGTTTCACACATTGCAGAGTCTATCCTGGTAGAGAGTTTGAGATGGGACAGGAGCCTTGATAGGGAGGATGTTGACAGGAGGGTATGATGAGGGATAGAGAAAACATTCCTGAAATCTTTGTTTTTGAGCTGTGTTAGTTATCTAACACAGTAGCCACTAGCCCCATATGGCTATCTAAATTTAAATAAACAGCAATTAAAAAATGTAGTTCCTAGCTGGGTGCTGGTACCTCACGTCTGTAATACTAGCTACTCAGGAGGCTGAGATCTGTGGATCACAGTATGAAGCCAGCCCAGACAGGAAAGTCCATAAGACTCTCCTCTCCAGTTAGCCATCAGAAAACCAGAAGTGGAGCTGTGTCTCAAAGTGGTAGAGTGCTAGCCTTGAGTGAAAGAGCTTCAGGACAGTGCCCAGGCCCTGAGTTTGAGCCCCATGACAAACCACAAAGAAAAAGAACAAAGGCAGTTCCTCAGTTGCACTAGCCACAGGGCAAGTTTTCCTTATCCACACGTAGCTGCGGACTGTGGATATCAGGGGTGTGGAACATTGCCACGATGAACGAACAGTCTGTTACTCAGTGCTGGGCTGAGTGAACTCCGGACTCAGTTCAATTTTTCATAAAGGTTTTGTGTCCTAGATTGAATCTCTAGTCATTTCCAATTGTGTGTGTGGAGGGGGGGAGGGGGCAAGGGCAAGGGGGGTGGACTTTGAGATTCTGTTATACCCAATGAGTGATACTGACTTCTAACTTCTCTTGTATCCTGAGGGGGCTGTTTTCAGATCATTCAAGAGGTTATGGGGAGAGAATGAGGGACGGGGGTGATACTGTTCCAAAAGAAATAGACTCTTTATCTGACTTACCTAACTGCAGCTGCTCTGTACATCACCTTTACAATAACAATAAAAAAAATTTAAAAACAACAAAAGAGGTTATGGTCAGCCAGGTGCAGTGGTTCATATCCGTAATCACAGTTACTCCACAGGTAGAGATTTAGAAGGGTTGTGGTTCCAAGGGCAAGCCTGGGCATAAAGTTGACAGAACTTCCTCTCAGCCACCAAGCCAGTTGCAGTGGTACAAGTCTACGTGAAAAGCCAGCCATAGGTAGGGAAGGCTTGGGCAAAAAATATCAGACCTTATCCAAAACCTAGCTAAAACAAAAAGCAATGGGGAACATGGCTAACATGGGAAGAGTGGCTTTTTTTTTTTTTTAAGCAAGCATGAAGCCCTGAGTTCAAACTTAGTGCTGCCCACATACAGATATGGAGGTCCCTAGGTTTTCCTAGATGTTCTTTGCCTGAGGATGGAAAACATAAAGCCTTCTGCAAACCTTAGAATGTCTGGAGGAAAGATCCAAACATGTCAGGTGGACTTTGTTTTCCAGCCAGAAGCACCTTGCAACACTTGGAATGTGACCTTGTTCTCCTTGGACCCCAGTGGAGGGTGGCGGAGGGCTGGGTGGTATCTTGGCCGTGGCTGTGAGTTTGGTCTCTGATTTTCTTCCTCTGTCCTTCCCATAGTGGGCGGTGAGATCCCCCTAGACATGCGGCTCGGGGGAGGACAGCTGGTGTCAGAGGAGCTGATGAACCTGGGCGAGAGCTTCATCCAGACCAATGACCCGTCACTGAAGCTCTTCCAGTGCGCCGTCTGCAACAAGTTCACGACGGACAACTTGGACATGCTGGGGCTGCACATGAACGTGGAGCGCAGCCTCTCCGAGGATGAGTGGAAGGCCGTGATGGGGGACTCATACCAGTGCAAGCTCTGCCGCTACAACACCCAGCTCAAGGCCAACTTCCAGCTGCACTGCAAGACGGACAAGCACGTGCAGAAGTACCAGCTGGTGGCCCACATCAAGGAGGGCGGCAAGGCCAACGAGTGGAGGCTCAAGTGCGTGGCCATCGGCAACCCTGTGCACCTCAAGTGCAATGCGTGCGACTACTACACCAACAGCTTGGAGAAGCTGCGGCTGCACACGGTCAACTCCAGGCACGAGGCCAGCCTGAAGTTGTACAAGGTAAGGTCGACTCCCCCGGGGACCACGCTCTTGACACTGCACGGGGTGACTTGGGGGCGGGGCGGCAGCATGCTCTGTCCGGGACCAGCTAGCTCTGTGGCAGGGTCAGAGGCGGCCACTTCCAAAGGAGCAGAGTTGTGAGGATGGCTTTGCTCATCTGGTTGGTGGCTGATGGTGTCTCTTCTGGGCCGCATTTTGGGGGGACAGGTTGTTCTGTTTCCCATGTGACTGTTGGTGTGGTTGACTGTCTCCTTACAAACCACTGGCTTCTGTGACTCTCTCTTTAGCCTTCCTGTTCCCCCCCTCCCTTTTTTTTTTTTACTTCCAATCATCATTCCTGTGCCTCTTTTTTCTTCCCTCATCCCACCCCTCCCCCACTGCCCAGTGGGTCATCCATGTATGCATGCATTCACTCATTCATTCATCTAGCCAGCCAGGTATACATTGAGCACCTTATACATACCAGTGTTTTGAAGGCATGCCTACATTAGCGCACAAAATAGCCCCCCCCCCCAAATAAAAGCCCCTGCCTGCATAGAGCGTCCATATTTTTGGAAGACAAGATGAGTGATAATCACAGTGAATAAGTGATACACTGGCTGGAAGATGGTAAACGTTCAAGGGGAAATAAGGTTCTTTAATGTTATTTGTGCCTGTGTTTGTGTCTCCTTTCTTCTATTCATCTTTTATCTTTTTTTTTTTTTTCTAGGCTTTTCTCATCTGCCCTTTCTCCCTTAATCTGTCTTTTTTCCTTCTCCCTTTTCTACTCCTTCCTACCCCCAACTCTGAAACAGACAGTAACAGAGGGGGAGGGGCTCCGGATACTGTAAATAGTCCTTTCACTTGCCTGGCAGGATTGCTCCAGACGTTTCTATCGATTTTCACTGGACTTAAAGCCTCACCTTTTTCTCTAATCATCCCATAATGGCTTTAGTATGAACAATCAGGTAGGAATCGCCATAAATCTTCCCCCGCCTCATTCCACATACCTTCCACTCCCTCATGCCGCGCTCTTTCCCTTCTCCTCACTTTTACCATCAGTCTCTCCTCTTTCCTTTCAGCCCTTTCCCACAGGTTTGGGCCAGCCAGTGTTGGGCTTTTGCCCAGCTAATATAACCCCCTGTCTATCCATCACAGATTTAGACTGAGACTCTACTTAAGGAAGGATTCTGATCCTTTGCCCATATCGGTCCCTGCTGGCTTGATGACTGTAATTCATTTTATGGCTGATCGTTCTCAGGGTGGCGGGGGTGTGGGGTGGGTGTGGGGGTGTGTACCATGGAGACAAAACCATTTTGGGGAAAGGAGAAGAAAGCAAGGGTGAGGTAGTCGGGATAGAATGTTCTAGAAGGGTCTTCTGACTCTAGCCGTGGTGTACTGGGGAAAGTGTGAGACACCAAGTCCGTGAGAAACTCACTGGACTGCTTGGTTTTGTGCTGCCGTTGCCCTGTGGGTAAATTGGAGTTCTGAACTGGCCACAGGATGGTGCCAGTGTGGCCAGGACAACTTGATGGTAAAATAACGGGGGGGGGGCGCGGAAAGGGACCCGGCTAATAAATCACACAGAGAATTGGTTGTAGCCGTTGGGGGTTCTGTGTGGCTGGGTCATTTAGCGAAGGTGGTGCGAAGCTGGCCTCTTCCATTGGGGGGGGGGGGAATTGCCCCGTTTCCTGCCTCCAGTGCCTCGGGTAAGAATCTGCAGGCACTTGGCTTGGCTTTTGAAAGTCCTAGAAACCGGACAATTTTCTGAGAAGACCCCCCTTTTGGCCCCTAACCCACACAGATGGTTCATACCTGGGGTGTCAAGGGGAAGTGGAGGCAAAAGATAGAGTTTATGTGTTTCTCTGCTTCTAGTTTATACCAGGGTGCTTATTTATTTATATTGATGACTTTTGCTCAAAACTATGTAGCATGGGTTGAAGGGGCTTAAGTGGTGAGTTGCAAGGTAAAATGTGGGAACCAGCCTCCAAGGGAGAGGTGTCCTAATCATGCTTCTGTCTGCGGCCTCCCTGGGGGTGAGCAGTCCCCGAGTTTCAGTGTAGAATTCCCTGCATCAGGAGCCAAAGGTCATTAGTCTGGTCTCATTAGCTCTTGGGTAATGAATGTTCTTCTGCTTGCTGAGGCTTCTCTGGGGGGCGGGAGCTCTGTCACCCACTGTGGATGACACAGGCAGGATGATCATTCTGGCCCTGTCCCCGAGCCCTTTTGTTCCTCAGTGTGACTAAGACAAACTTCTCTTGTCTCCGAGGGGGCTTCCTCGCGCTGGGTTCCATCAGTCCATGCATTTGGGGTGGGGTTTGGAGGTGGTTTGAGTCACTTTTTCTCAAGGCCCTGGTGTGGCCTGTAGTAAATGGAGATTGATTGCATGTTATTTTTCCTCTTGCTAATGTAATCCATTAGCCCGGCACATGCATAATCAGTTTAGAGCACAGTTAACTGGATGTAATCGAGTTCTTTACTGTCTGCTAGAGAAACTGCTCCAGATGGAGCTGACCCAGGGAGGCCACTGGATTCCTCACTCACTGCCCGCCTTGCCCAGCTCTGCCCTGCCTCCCACCCTACCCCACTCCACCCCACCCCACCCCACATGTCCCCGTTGCCTGGCAAATTGTTCATGACTGGGCCAGGAAACCCCTGAGGTTGCTTTCTGCTGCACCCACTGAAGCGGCCCTGAATTGTTTGTCTTCCACTGTGCCTCCGGCCAGCCCCCTCTCAGCCAAGGCTTTTATTGCCGTCTTCTTCCCTTCACATTAGAGGAGACAGGGCCGAGGTCTCAGGAGACCCAAGTGGTGATGTGGCTTTCTGGCTTGTCATGTGACCTCTCACCAGCGTACAGGGTCACTGCCCTTGTTGCTAGTCCAGGCGGAGATTCCCTAATCGGAAAGTCAGACTCTCAGACTGCTCACAAGTCCGAAACTCTCCAAGCCACAGCATGGTGCAACAAGTGGAAAATTCCATACTGGATTTCATGCAGTGTACACCCAGTACAGGTGCTCTAAAAGGATCGCATCAAATTATGTCCAGTGGAGATTCGGCAGGGAATTTCATGTTTAGATCTTGGTTCCATCCCCAGCAGATCCCATTATGGAGCTACAGCTATTCTAGAGTGAGAAAACAGTCAGAAATGCAAACCACTTCTGGGTCCTGAGCATTTTGAAATAAGTGTTGCTCATCCTGTGCACGCGTATGTTGCTGTAAGAACTGAGCTCTTTGAAAGTACAGGGCCTTGTGCTTGTTAGGTAAGTGCGGAACCACTTGAGTCACTTTTCAGATAGGGTGTCATGCTTTTACCCTGGGCTAACCTTGGACACGGTCCTCCTCTTTCTACCTCCAGAGTTGCCTGTCCAACCATGCTTGGCCTTGTGGGATGATTTCGAATCCAGATTATCAGAGGGTTGGGCTAATCTGTAGAAACCTGGTGAGGTTCCTTTTGGTCTAGAAATGCCTAGCTTGGATTATTATTTAATGTCATTTAAAAAATGAGATTGATGTTCAGTGTGCGCTTCCTCTCCACCTCCTGGAAGAACATTAGAGAAGGGGAAGGTGCAGAGCCAAGGTCTCGATATGAAGCTCCCTTACTTTTCCCGGGACTCTCCGGTGTCCAGAGGGTTCCTGATGGGCTCTTTGTCGTTCCCCCACCTCCCATCTTACACAGTGGCCTTTGTGGTCTTATCTCCATGGCCACTCATCCATGTCTTAGCACTTGACATTGCAGGGCCTTTTGGTCACCAAAGGCTCCAGAGATGCTGCAAGCATGGAAATGTATTGTGGAAAGGGTACCTACCCAGTTCTCATCAGCATGGGTTCCGAGACCTCATGTCCAGGTTTCTGCTTCTGTGTAAACATATCACTCTCCTCTTCCCTCCTTCCATTTCCTGTGTGGTTCCCTGGTGTGTGTGTGTGTGTGTGTGTGTGTGCGCGCGCGCGTGTGCGTACATGTGTGTGAGACACCATGCCTGTGTCTCACAGGCATGCCTGTGGCTCCCCTGACAATGGGACAGAGCCAGAGTGGGCGCTCCTGGATTTGTCTTGTGTATTTGCCTATCTGGCATCAATGGGGAGCTTCTGAGATTAGTTCCTGGTCTGTTCTTAGGGGAGGAGGAGGAGAAAGAGAAGGAGGACAGGAAGGCAGTTGGAAATCTGTGTACATCTGCCAGTTCCCAGAATCTGTTTTTCACATAGATTTTTTCCCCCCTTCACCTGAGTCATTAGAATGGAAATCCGTCAACTTTAGCTGATAGATTAAGACCCCCACCAGAATCCATTACTCAGAACAACTCCCAGCTGAGGGGCCTCTGGTTGGGGCTAAGACCCCAGCTTTCCTAGCAATCTTAAATTTGACCAAAGAGGGTTGTCTCCCATGGAGCTCTGTCTGGGCCACATTTAACCAACCTGCTTTGGGCCCGTGAGACAAACAGGAGTGTCTAAGCCACTCGTTTTTAAAGTAGAGGCCGAGAAAGGCAGTGACTTATTGAAACATTACATATACACAGCCGGATTCAGCAGATGGCTACGTTTCTGCTCCTGCCCTCCTCTGAATGTTTTGCCGGGCAGGAGGATATAAGGATATAAGAGACTCTCCGTTGGGATAGTCTCTGTTGGGATCTGGGCATGGTGGCACATAACTGTAATCCCATCGACATGGGAGGCAGGAGGATTGCTAGTTTTAGGCCACCTCCCCCCCTCCCCCCCCCCCCCCCCCGCATAAGCTAAAGGTAGTAAGACTCTGAAAACCAAATAATGCAATCCTGCAGCTATGTCCTGGTGACTCATGCCTGTACTCCTAGCTACTCCAGAGTTAGGATCGGAAAGATGGTGAATTTGAGGAGATCTTGAGCAAAAGAAGATAACAAGACGCTCAAAAACAAATTAGTTTTGGTAAAATGTTATTTTATCTGGGAAGATACAGGAAGCTGTTGTGCCTGTGTGCTTATTGAAAGGAACCCAGAAGATGGAAACAGGAGGTTGCTTTTTAAAATTTTTCTTTGTTGCCATTTTTG